AGTAAGGAAGGAACATATTACTGGAATATGGAAAAAAGAGGGGTCTTTATTACAGTGGCAGAAATATCAGCAAAATTGTCATCTGCTTTAATGGGAAAGCAAAGGTTGTAAGGGGTGAACCTGGTTATCCAGCTAAAGTGATTTCCAAACAAAGTGTTGAAGGCACTGCCAGCAGCATCTTGCTGCTAATAGTGAAATGTGAGAGAAAAGAGGTAAATTGAGGGAAGAACTGTTAAATAAAAAGAAAGCAGGACTTGATGGTTTTAAAACTTCTCAGCCTCTCCAGGTGGCAAAAAATGCTGAAACTAAGAAATGACTTCTGAGCAGTCAGGAAAACATGGAATAGAGATGAGACCACTCCCTTCCTGGAGCTTCCTGAATCACCTCATAATAAACTATTTGTTTCTGGTTCTAATTTATGAGTAACCAACCGAAAACGCATCCTTACTTGTTTTTCTAAATTTCAGGGACTTGAAGCTCAACCACATACTTCCTCCAATTACAGGCCTCTGACCCTAGTAATAAAACTATTCTGCAGAAGCTGACTGCACCATTGTGCAGCTGAAAACACACACCTAGCCCAAGAGCCAGAGGGGCTGAAGTAGGGCCCAAGGAAGGTATAGAAAATTTTCACTGACCTAACCTTCACCTTACTCTTGTAATATTCTCACTCAGTGCCTTCTATAGTCTTTTCCTTAAGTGTATCACAAAAACACTGGTATTGGCCAGGTCTCCTCATTCATCTTTTCTAGGAAATTTTGTATAATCCTATGTCATGACAAGGACACATTACTCACTATATTTCAATCCCAGCCCCTCCTCATAAACTACAGCTTATCTATCCAACCGCACCTCAGAAATCTACACTATGGTGTTGCAAAGGCAGCAACTCATGTCAGAACTCATTCATTCTCTCTCTTTCTCTCTCTCTCTCTCCTCTCTCTCTCTCTCTCTCTCACACACACACACACACACACACACACACACACCCCAGAGAAAATACCTTTTCCAACACACCTGGTCTATGAAACCAGACCACCTGGATTTGAGCCCTGACTCTAACATTTCCTGACTGTGATACCTTGAACAAGTATCTGTTTTCACCTCCCTACATTGCAACTTCTTCACGTGTGATTAAGGTTAATAATAGTTCTTACCTCATTAGGTTATTGTAAAGATAAAATGAGCTCTATACGTAAAACAGAAGTGCCTGGCACATATTATACTCTCCATAAATTTTAACTGTCAATATTGTTACTATCTTGAATTGCATCACTCAATAATCCAATGAATATCCCTTGAAGTCCCCTACTGCCCTGCAATTGACATGTATCCAATTGATCATCAAACTCATTGGTTCTACCTCCTAAACATCTTCCTAATCCATTCATATTTCTCCATCCCAGCTGTTACCTCTTTAGTTAAAGCCTTCATGGTTCCCTCATCAATAAGGATCAGTGTATAACCGTCATGGCCCCCTACCTGGGTTTTATGTGAACCATAACCAAAACAACCCATCCCTCTGTACCTATGTCCAAATCCCCTCTTCACATTGTAGCCAGAATATCCTTCTAAACTAAACCTCTCATCATGTTTCTTCCCTCATTAAGAAGCCTTAAGAATAAAATCTTGGCTCTTTATGCCCTTCCCTCAGTGCTCCTAGCTGTCAACCCCACCCTCACCATCTTGCATCCTACGATCCAGCCACACTGGACTCTTGGAAAATTTTGAACTGTTTAAACTCTTAACATGTCCTTCCTCCTAGAGTCCTTGGTGCTATTAAAGAAAACTAGAGCCAGACAGTAGTTAAAGCAGTGAAAACAGATTTCATTCAGGAACTACAGTGATAGGGGAAAAGAGGCCTCAATATAGAACTGGGCTCAATTCTGAATATAGCAAGGACAAGTGGGGATTTAGCCAAGGAGTAGGGTGGGTGTGAAAGGTAGGTGGATGGAAAATTACTAAGAAGAGACATCAAGGGTAGGGGAATTCTTTCTAAACTAACCTAACAAGATCTTTGCTGAAGGCAAGTCCGAGTGATCAGATATCAAGGATGGAGGATGAAGAATTTGATCAGATATCAAAGGTGATCAGATGTGGAGCTGGAGGAGCTCTTCCCAAACTTAGTAGGATTCCTTTTTTTTTTTTTTTTTTTTTTTTCCTGAGACAGAGTCTTGCTCTGTTACCCAGACTGGAGTGCAGTGGCCCAATCTCAGCTCACTGCAACCTCCACCTCCCAGGTTCAAGCGATACTCCTGCCTCAGCCTCCCAAGTAGCTGGGATTACAGGCATGCACCACCACGCCCAGGTAATTTTTGTATTCTTAGTAGAGATGGGGTTTCACTATGTTGGCCAGGCTGGTCTCAAACTCTTGTCCTCGTGATCCACCCGCCTCGGGCTTCCAAAGTGCTCGGATTACAGGCCTGAGCCACTGCGCCTGGCCACTTAGTAGGATTCTTGATAAAACTGATCTATGAAAGTTCAGCAAAAATTGGAGTCAAAGTCTAGACCTAGTTGAGAAGAGGTCTCAGGGGAGCCTTATCAAAGTCTAATCAAGGAGAATCTTTGTAAGTGCTAAAATAAAACAAAAGAGAGGATTATTATAGCAAAGAATACTTCTTCTATAGCATTTATGCCCCCCCTTATCACTAAATTTGTGTGTGGAAATCTAATCCCAAATGTGAGAGCATTTGAAGGTAGGGGCTTTGGGCAGTGATTAGTTCATGAAGACAGAGGACCTCATGAATAGGACTAGTGCCCTTATATAAAAGCCCCAGAGAGATCCCTTGCTCCTTCGACCATGTGAGGACATGAGAGAAGAGGTGGCCATCTATGAACCAGGAAGCAGGCCCTCACCAGACACAAAATCTGTTGACACTTCAATCATTGTCTTTTAGCCTCCAGAACTGTGAGAAATACATTTCTGATGCTCATAAACCATCCAATCTATGGTACTTTGCTATAGCAGCCTGAGTGATCTAAGACAGAAAATTGATACTCAGAAGTGAGGTATTGCTATAACAAATACCTAAAAATATGGAAGCAGCTTTGGAACTGGGCAATGGGCAGAGGCTGGAGAGTTTTGAGACACATGCTAGAAAAAGTCAACATTGCTGCAAACAGATCTTTAAGGACAATTCTGGTGAGAGCTCAGAAAGAAAAGAGATCTGTAGAGAATGCCTCAATCTTCTTAGAGAATATCTGAGTAATTTGGAACAGAATGATGGTAGAAATATGGGTGGTAAAGGCCATTCTGATAAGGTCTCAGACCTCATCAGAAATGAGGAACTCGTTGGACAATACAAGAAAGGCCATCCTTATTATAAAGTGGCACAGAACTTGGCTGGATTGTGTTCCTGTCTTAGTGTTTGGTGGAAGATAGAACATGCAAGCAGCAGAACTGGAAATTTGGCAGAGAAAATATCTTTAAAAGTATTGAAGGAGTGGCCTAGTCCCTTTTGACTGCTTAGAGTAAAATGTGAAAAGAGAGAAATGACTTACAAACAGAATTATTAATCAATACGGAAGCTGAACTTAAAGAATTGGAACACTTTCAGCCTATCTGCATTGAAAATAATGAGAAAGACTACTCAGGAGAGAATACTAAGGGTGTGGCCAAATAACTGTCCAAAAGAGATTAGTCAGTCATCTCAAAAGAAGCTACAAAAAAAAAAAAAAAAAAAAAAAAAAAAAAAAAAAGGCAGAGGAGTAACCACCCGCATTGCCCAACACTGCCTCCCATCACTGGCTTCACTCCCCACACTGCAGCTCCAAGCAATTCAGCCACTCCTAAGCAAGGCTTCAGTGGGCCCTAGTGGAGGTTACCTTGTGTCCAGCAAAGCTTTGGGTGTGTAGCTACCTCCACCTAGATTCCAAAGGATGAACTGCCTGGAGCTGCTGGCATGGAACCCAGGTGGAAGGCCACAGGGAAGTTTGGGACCACCACAGATATACCCCACTAGGGTAATGCCCAGAACTGTGGGGGTGAGTTCCCCCAGAGACCCTAAACCTATAGAGCCTCCAGTATACAATAGCAGCCTGGGAGAGCATCAGACACACAACTCCATCCCATGAGAGCTGTGGCAGGGGCTGTGCCCAAAGCTGAGGCAACAGGGCTATCCAGAGCCTTGGGGGCCCAACCCATGTCCAGCAAAGCTGCAGAGGCAGGACTGCTGCCTCAGTGGGTCTAGAAGACAGAAACCCCACCACCGTGTGCCTAGAGAGCAAAGCATCAAGCCAAGGAGCCTTAAGGGATAATGTAATTTGCCTGTTGGATTTTAGATTTGCTCAGGACCTCTTCCTCCTTTCCTCTTTCCTATTTCTCCCTTTTGGAAGAGGATTGTGTATCCTATGTCTGTCCCTCCATGGTATCTTGGAAGCACAGGACATGTTTGATTTCACAAATTCACAGCTAGAGAGGAATTTGCCTCAGGATGACTCATGCCTTGAGTCTCACCCATATCTGAATTAGATGATATTTAGAAGATAGTTTAGACTTTGGGCTTTTGAATTGACAACATGTGAGAAGTACGTGAATTTTGACGGGCCAGGGTGAAATGCTATAACTAAATATTTGCATCTCTCCCAATGTATGTGTTGAAACTGTATTCCCAATGTGATGGCATTTGGAGGTAGGGCCTTTGGGAGGTGATTAGGTGACTTGGGAATGGGATTAGTGCCCTTATAAAAGAAGACCCAAAGGGATCTCTCACCCCTTCAGCCATGTGAGGTTACAGTGAGAGGACAGCTATCTATGAACCAGGAAGTAGGCCCTCACCAAACACTGAGTCTGCAGGCACCTTAATCTTGGACTTCCCAGCCTCCAGAACTTTGAGAAATAAATTCCTGTTGTTTATAAGCTACTCAGTCTATAATACACTGCAGCCCAAATGGACTAAGATAACCCCTCTACTCCTAAGTGTCCCAAACAGCAACAGGTGAGTGAGAAGGTGTTTTGTTGGAGTCCTAGGTGGGAGAGGCAGGCTGGGTAGCAGGTGATCCAGGAGCAGTGGTGCACTTGGACCCTGGATTGCCCTGGCCCGCCCCATAGGGCCACTCCTGGCTGAGTGTAAATGCAAACTCTGCTTTGCTTGCTTGCAAGGCAAGGGATAACTCTGGCACCACAGGTTAACTAGTCTAATCACAGCAAAGGTCAGGACTCCAGTGATGGAAGCAGATCCTTCCTGCAACAGTGGAGGACCGCTCCATAAAAGAAGCAAACCAAGGCACTCTGATAGAAAGGCTTTTATGTTATAGGGTTTGAGTTTCCTTTTTTCAACCTTCCGGAAAAAAAAAAAAGTAGTCAAGAGGCTGTCAGGCAGCTCAGCGTCTCCATTAGAATTCAGAGTATTCCACGGTAATTACAAAACAGCTGTAATGGAAAATTGGTAGTCAAACCCATTTTCCAGCGACTAGAACGGTGAATGGGCTCCATTATGTTCCTAATTCTCATTAACTTAATTTGCATAGGAAACAATGAAGGAATACATAATGAGGTACAGTGGGCAAGCAGCCCAGCCCTGGCCCCCATGGTGCTGGGCTCAACCCACAGTGACCCACCCCAAGGGAGGGAAGGCCAAGTGCTACTGCTGGGCTGGACTCCACTGGGCAACCTGAGGCTGCTGCCCTGAGTTAGTCCAAGACCAGCGAGGTGGAGGATGACTGCTTGCCTGTCATTTGTCCAGGATCACCTTGCTTCAGCACATCCAGTGCAAATCCCATTTCTTCTCCCCACCTCCCTCCCCTACTCTTGGTAAGGCGGAAGAACTGGAGCAGAAGGAGGAGGGAACTTGTTTTTGGGTAAGCAATTCCAGGCTTTGGCTGTGTGTGCACGCATGTTTCTCCCTACAAATCTGGTTTTAATTATAATTGGCCCTGGCAAAAGAATGAGATCAGCAGCTGGGGAGTGGGGTGGGGTTGGGGTGCAGGGATAGGCCTGAGCTGAGCCCTGGGTGCTTTTGAGGAAGTGAGGACAGCAGGGCCTAGCTCCAGTTTTGCTACCCTAAGCCATAGTGACCACATCAGACCAGGTCTTTGCTGGTGGATTAAATGGAACTCGACGTAAGGTAGAAACAGGTCACAGCCAAAGCTCAAAGCTCAATCAGTCAGCTGTGACAGTAGTGGAAAGCCAGAAGTTCTTTGTGTTCTCTATTTTAACAAATAAAATTACAAGCCCCCCAAAAAAAATAGTGGTACATTCTACTCACAGTGAATTTAGGCATCTATGCTATTTTAGACACTATACTGGACTATCTCAATGAATCTTTACAGCAAAACTGCCAGATAAGAATTATATCAATTTCACTGACAGGGAAACTGAAGCTCAAATAATGTTATATGCTGATCGTTTAGCTCTTCACAGGCAAAGCCTGGTCTTATGGATCAGCTAGTCCAGCTAAGCTGATGCTTCCCAGACTTTCTAACTTCACGGCACTCACAGAAAATGATCATATTTGCATAAGGTACTCAGGGTGAAGGAGAGAGAATGTGGAACCTGAAGAAGCCCAAACTCCACTTGGTTGAAGGGTCAATATTTCAACCCACATGAGTTGGAAACCTCAAGTCTAATTCATAGGAAAATGCTGGCCCCTTCCAAGAGCTACTGGGAGGGTGTATATGCCAGCAATATCCCAACAGTGTCTCACTTGATAAAACAGAAATGTCTGAAATACCACTTCTAGTTTGGGTTAATTATTGCCTTCCTCATACTTCTCTTTTTAAATGCATATCTCTGTAGGTGATGTATAATATTCATCCCATAAAAATATGCAAGGTAAGGAGCATTTACCTCAAAGTAAGAGACCCAGATTCGTTTCCTAATTCTGCCACTACATAGCTGAAAGAGTTATGCAATTCATTTCAAGGGAGCTGGACCAGATAACTTTCCTTCTCTTAACGCTCTGCAAAGGTACCTATGTAGGCTTTTGTCTTGAGGTGAGAAGGGGAATGGGTCAGTGCTGCACCAAATGCTGAAAGAAGAATGGCATAGGCAAAGTGAATGAAAACAACTTTTTTTCCCAAAAATTAATCATTCCCAGCTGCTCCACATCAACCCTATTATCCTCATCATCTCCAACAGCAATTTCCTGAGAATGTACTAAGTTCTGGGCATCACACATATATGGTTCATAATCCCCGTAACAACACTATGAGATGGGTTTCATCATCACTGTTAGATAGGGCACTGTCATGATAAGTGGTTGAAGCCACACATCTGGGTGTTGCACCTGCTCTTCGTGTGCTTCTCTGTCTCACCTCCAGCCTGCACTTTCTTTACTTTTCGCAACAACTTGCTGCCTCTCCTTTACCTCCCTCTGAGCCTGGAGTGGATGACATGCTCTCCAGCATTTCAGTGAATTCTTGATGCTCAGGGTGAATTTGGGAGCACAAGCGTGTCCCATCTCTTTGGCTCCCAATCTCATCCTCAGAGACACTACCTAGATCCAAAATGACTGGAAACTATTTAAGCAGAACTTTTGGTTGACTTGACCAATTGGATTGGTTCTTCAGGTGCCATAGCCATGCATCCCAGACACAGATACCCTTGACAACCAACACAGCAATCCCTTGTGTCCAAGGCCAAGGAAAACAACTAGTCTTCATTCATGTGCACAAAATCCTGTCTTTCTGTTTGTGCCCACCAGAAACCAGTTCATACAGTGCTCAGTGTTTGCTGATTAATGAGTTGACTTACTGCCTTTATTAATAACCAACACTAGTTACTCTTTGCCTGATATGTGTAATCATTTTAGCAAGAGTTGTAGATAATTTTATATTTCTCCAGTTTGTAAAGCACGTTCATATTTTCCATCTAATTCTTCACATTGTTCCTCAAAACTGCTTGTTTGGGACTAGGCACTGGGAGGTGGACTTCTTTCTTGATGCCAACCTGATGGCTTAGGGAGTTGCTGTAGAATATGGCAGGAAAAGCCCAAGAGACCAAGTTCAATGTTCTAGTGTTGTCCAATTTCATCCCTGATTTTAAAGAGAAATACCAGCTGGCCTATTTAACCAAGGACCAGTTCCAAGCAACTCCCACTCTCAAATGGACTGGGTTTTAGATTAGTTTTCCTGCAGATTCTCCAAGCACTGTCCCTCACCTCCTATATATAAGAGAGCAAAGCTGAAGATGTGCTAGAAAGATTCAGGGCTGGTTTGTTTGTTCCCTTCTTGGGTTCACTCAATGTCACTTACACACAGACAAAAACCCACTTGTGGCTGAAGTCTCCCACGCAGAGTTGCAGGCACGCAGCGTTCCCTCAGTAAAGTGCCTCTTGCTGTGTTCCTGGGAACCAGCACCACACCACACAGCTCTGCCAACTGCGTCACTTTTAGATTCTGGGCTTTGAAACCAAATAAAAATTGATATGTGTGTAATCACATTTGTTTAATTAAAGTAACACATCTGTGCAGTAAATATTCCAGCACGAGCTGGTCAATAGCAAATCCTCAGCATGTACAGTAATAATTGACTAATGTAATTAAATGCATGTCAGAGTTTTAAAAGAAAATATAATGAGATTTCATCATTTTATATGTACAGGTAATTAGTTCTTAGGAATGTGAGTAAAAGCAAATTATCTACAGATTTGAACTATCAGCAGATAATTCAAATGACCTAGTTTGGGAGAGAAAATGGTATCTAAAAACTAGAGAAATTTAAACCAAAACAAGCATTTTTTTCCCATTAAATCAGAAAGCTACATTAAGAAATGAGAACGAATAATTTTGCTTAACATGTTTTCATGGAGCTTTTCTCTTTGGATGACTTGTGCCATAGTGAGGGCACCAGGTTGGAGTGAGTTCTCTCCTGGCCTCCTGGTTCATGCTCCTCTTCCAGCTGTCTAGGTATCCAGGAACTTCCTAGCCCCAAGCTCTGGGTCATTTTAAACAAATCTTTCTTTTGGTTTCTTCTGTGTTTAAGGAGCACCTCCTGCTGCTTCTTAACAGTTCCTGTTTCGTCCAAGAGTTATCATCCAAGTTCCTGGATAGCACGTGCACAGGGCTTGGGAAGGGCATTCCAAGAGTAAGGGAACATATGAGCAGATGATGCAAAAATAGAGAAAAGTACATGTCCTGTTTGGGAAGCAGAGAGGAGCTCAGTCTGGCTGGGGAAGAGTCCAGTAGAGCAGAAGGAGATGTGGCTGTCAAAATAGGCGAGAATATGATGGGCAGAGACTTGAATATTGGCCAAGAAGTTTGAGCATCATTCTCTGAAGGCCATATCAAGTTGCTGAAGATGCTGATTTTTGCTACTTCACTCAATGCTAATCATGCCAAATGCTTCAAAAATCTCAGCACTCAAATATAAACTAGCTGCTTGTGGAAACAATCAAGTCCTCATCACCAAAACCTGGTCATTTTGACATTAGGGTTATTTTTCTCCATGATGAAAGCTATCTGTACACTTCTCTCTCCCACTGGGTGATGCCTCAATTTCTTTCCCTTCTCTAAACTCCTGCAAATGTTGACACTGCCACCTTAATGGTCCACCTTAGTGGCTTATCTTAGCAACTGTAGCTCTGGATTGTAAATCATGTCTTGTGTGAGTTTTATTGCCATAGTCAGACTAAGCATGGGCAAGGACAGCATGAGCCTATCCTGCCCATGTGAATTTAAATTTTCCATATGTATACACAGGCTGTTTAGCTTCATCTTTGCTGCCACGATTCTGTGTCAGGAAATAGCAGTGAGAGAACAGAATGACCATGATAAATGCAAGATTTGGCCATCGTTTGATATGCCAGCCAGATGTTCTTCACCAGTTGGAGGGCAGAAGCTTTGTGGAGTTTCATGGTTAGTGGCTGTACTGAGGGATATGCCACCCACTCCCTGGCTTGCATCCCTTGGGATTAGAGCCTTCCTTCTCTGGGACAGTTTGTGCTGGTGCATCAGTGACCAGAACTAAGCATCAGTGTGGGCCCATATTTAGAGCTTAATAGTTGGCAGTTAATAGTTCCTACAACAGCAACAAAAAATGCAATAACAATAGTAATAAAGAGGAAACCTATATATTAAAAGACACAGGCATATCAACCAATAACAATGTATTTATTTAACAAATAACAAGTAACTTATTTTGATCAAACTGAAAATTCTACATATAAAAAATTGGAGAAATAAAATCACTTGCTAGATATTTGTGCATAAGGAATTTTTAAGTTTTAGGTGTAACAATTATGTCATGGTTTTAACCTGTCAATCTTTTTCAACAGAGCCCTTACATTTTAGAGATACAAACCAAAACACATACAGATGATAGGATATAATGATGTCGGCATTTCCTTCAGAATAATCAAAGAGAGGGAGGAAAAAGGAGTCAGTAAGGTTATGAATGAAAAAAAGACTGTACTGGTAATTGTTGGAGCTGGGAAATACATACTAGGGCTCACTATACTGGTTTCTTGACATTTATATATATTTAAATTTTTCATTTAAAAATTGATGATAATTCTGATTTTTAGTTAGCCAAAGAGAGAAATCTTTCTGGGTTGTTAATTTATGGCTAGAGTTTGAGGATGGACTGAGGCTGAAGCTCTGGGTTCCATTTGTGGCTAGGGTTATACATTTATAATTTATCAAGTATAGAGCAATCTATGACCAAAGAAAGAATCCAGGAGTGGTCAGACAAAATATAAAGTGGATGATCATGATTATGGGGTAACTTGGGTCTGGTCTTGGGCTCAGTCTGTGGCCAGCTTTAGAGATTGGTTCAAAGCTGGAATTAAGAAGAAACTGTAGCCAAAGTAGGAGGTCATTCTTTCTGGAATTAAAGATGGTCTATGCCATCAGTTACAGAATTATATATTTCCAGAGCTAAAATTCAAACATGTGACCAAATGGAATGGAAGTTTTAGATTTTCTCTGTGGTGACATGGGGTGGATGGCATGTTGGGTCTGGTATGACATCATATCAGTGATTGACAAGATTTAGAAGCCAGTGTGTTGAAGTCGGGATCAACTGTGAATGACATCAGGGAGCTTATTTGTGACTGGGGTTAATGGAGTCTACAGTTCAGTTTCTCACTGGGGTTTTGAGGTGGTTTTACACTATAGGATGCACAATTAGTATTACTTGAGGAAGGAGGGTATCTAAAAATGTCACTAACTAGGCCCTAGCTGAGGCCACTGATCCTGGAACTCTGAGGTCAGGGCCAAGACTTTGATGAGAAGCCCTAAGTTACAGTGTCACAGAGTGACCAAACTAAGGTATCCTTCATATCTGAAGTTAAAAGGTGTTCTGTGACTAGAGTTGCAAGTGTAAGGAGTGAGTCAGTGGCTACATAATAAATATGTGGGCCTCCAGAATGATGCAGCAAGTCTACTTTTTTAGCACTATGCTAATCCTGGGGTCCTGATTCAGACCACCCAAGAAGCACACATAAATAATGTGGTGCCTTGATTTAAAACAATGCTTCTGACCTACCTATGTAGCACATATTGGAGTATTTTTACCTGAAGCAAGAATAGGTTTCTCCACTGAGAAGACCAAGGTCTAGAGCCTATCACCATTCAAGATCATTTTAAAGAAAATAAGTTTATTTTGCTCATGATTCTGATGGCTGAAAATTACAAGATTAAGTAACTGCATCTGGTGAGAGTCTCCTGCTGCTTGAATTCACGGCGGAAAGTGGAAGAGGAGCCAGCGTGTACAAAGAGATCACATGGGAAGAGAAAAATCAAGGAAGTGAGACTCCTTTTAATAACCTGCTCTTATGGGAACTGATACAGTTTGGATGTTTGTCCCCTCAAAATCTCACTTGGAAATATGATTTCCAAAGTTGGAGGTGGGGCCTGGTGGAGGTGATTGCATCATGGGGCCAGATCCCTCATGAGTAGTTTAGCACCATCCCCTTAGTGATAAGTGAGTTCTTTCTCAGTTAGCACACAGGAGATCCAGTTGTTTAAAAAACTCTGGGACCTCCCTCTTCTTTCTCTCTTGCTCCTGCACCCACCATAGGATGCCCCTACTCCCCCTTGCCTTCAGCCATGACTGTAAGCTTCCTAAGGTCTCACCAGAAGCAGATGCTTCCTGTACAGCCTGCAGAACCATGAGCCAATTACATCTCTTTTCTTTATAAATTACCCAGCCTCAGGTATTTCTTTATAGCAATGAAAAAATGGACTAACAAAGGAATTAATTCATTCCCATGAGAACTAAGACTCACTCACCCACAAGGGAGTACATTAATCTATTCATGAGGAATCTACCCCTATGACCCTAACGCCTCCCACGAGGCCCTGCCTCCACACTGCGTACTGGGGATCACATTTTAACATGCGTTTTGGTGGGGCAAACGACATCCAAACCATAGCGAAGGAAGAGACGAAAGATGTGTCTCCTACTTTTCCTTAATTAGTAAATGCTTTCTTAAAGAGGCAAAATTCTGCAACCCAACATGTTGCTACGGATTCCATTTAATTAGTCTATGACATGCTTAATGTACGCCTATTGTTTGTACCCATGAGGGTGTCTAAGTCATAGCTCTGTTCATAAGAAGCTTGTAACCTAGGACAGCAGTGGCTCAGAGTGAGCTGAACAGGAAAGACATGAGAAATGATGTGAGTGGACTAGGTTGCAACACCACTAGGTTGATGGTCCCTGTTGGCTCATGGTTCTGTAGGCTGTACAGGAAGTCTGGTGCCAGCATCTGCTTCTGGTGAGGCCTTAGGAAGCTTATAGTCATGGATGAAGGTAAAGGGGGAGTAAGTGCGTCACATGGCAAGAGCAGGAGCAAGAGAGAGAGAAGAGGCAGGTCCCAGACTCTTTAAAACAACCAGATCTCCCGCAAACTAATTAAGCAAAACTCACTTATCACCAAGGGGATGGTGCTAAACTATTCATCACTATTCCAAGGCTCCAAATGGTCTTCCAGCATCTCATTAAGAAGAAGAGTTAATCACTGTTTCCCTCTTAGATGACTTCTGGGACCAAGAACTGGTCAGAATGCTTTTTACACCGATCCTGAGACCACCAGAAGCACATTATAGTTCCTTTAAGGTGGCCTGCCCTCTATTGAGATCCTGACCTGGGTTCTGGCAACACTGAGAAAAAACACAGAGAAAAGGTAGCTATAGGATGAAATGTTCCAAGAGAAGGAGCTCAGAGAAATGGTAGGTAAGGTAGGTTGACTGGTGTCATTAGAGATGATAAACACTGTAGTTGCCTACCAAATGCTATCACTTTTCCTTCCTACAAATAGAATTCCAATTTAATTCAGGGAGGCAATGCACTTAGTTTCAAAGACCATTTCCTGGCCTTCCTTGCTATTAGAGGTGATCATGTAACAATGTAACTAATGAGATATTAGCGAAATTCTGCTGGAGAAATACATAAAGCACTCCTTCCTCCTTTACACACATCCCAAGTTCCAACGCATTTTTTTCTTGCAGCAAGGACAAGAGTATTGAAATCACCAGTTGATACACAATAACATCCTTGAATCTGTTCCAGAATTGGATGCACTCTTCTAAATCATTCTTCTCCAGCCAGTGACAAGGAAAGAGGCATTTTCTAGGTAGGAACGTCTTAGTCTATTCACACTGCTATAACAAAATACCATAAACTGATTTACTCATAAAAGTTATTTACACGGTTCTGGAGACTGAGAAGTCTAATATCAAAGAGTTGCAGATGTAGTGTTTGGTGATAGCCTGTTCTCTCCTGGCTTGAACCTTCTCACTCTGTCCTTACATAGTGGAAGTGACGAATGAGCTTTCTTGGGCCTCTTTTATAAGGGCACTCATCCCTTTTATAAGGGCTCTGCCTTCATAATCTAATCACCTCCCATCTCTTAATAGCATCTCATTGGGGTTTAGGATTTCAACCTATGAATTTTGGATATTCAGACCCTAACAGAGTCACTACTAGGTCTGTGCTAGAGCCTTGGATGATGCTATGACCCCACCACGCTAGCCCGAGCCATTGCAAATTGCCATCGCACATTGCCATCCAAGCAGTCTTGACAGAGGCCCTGAGCATCAGAAGAAGTTCCTCTTTCCCTAGTGCTTCCCCAACCAGAGAAACAGCAGGAAAAGGACATAAGCAACCCACATCTCGTTACCTGTGAACTTGTGGCATCTACAGTAGAAAAGAGGAAGGATGTATAGATGACCTGCAGAAGCTTATTTGGGAATGTCAATTGATGTGGCGAGGGCTATGGCAAGAGCTAGGACATGCTGGATTCTAGGTTCTGAATGCAACTCTTCTATCTTCCTGTTGAATTAGCTGAGGTTATAGTAAGTCAAGGATCTAGAAGTCATGGCTAGCTTCAGACTGTGTCCAGTGACATGTGAGAGTCACCAGACCATGAGGCTACAGAGGTAGACCAGATACCAATACCAGAGTTCCTTGTATAGCCAACAAAGAAGAGGTCTTGACTGAAAACTGGCCAAGGGGATAGGACTAGATCTTCATTGTCTCTGCTTACCAAGGTTGGACCTCAGAGAATAACTTTCCAATTCTCCCTCCAAAGTAAGCAAGAGCCAAAGGCTCTCACACAGGCTGTGTTAGCTTGGACACAAGAACTGGGAATGGAGGAAAGCTGGGTGGCCTCTGATAGCAAAAAGTAGAGAAAATGGGAAACAAAGTCTGCCATTTTAAAGGCCAACTCTAAATAGCTAAGTAAGGGCCATGAAGTCCAAATGGGAGGGGAGAATCAGAAGGATTCTCTTGTCTCCAAAGAGAAAGGACCTCAGCAGAGGGCAAGCAACATAGAAGAATTAGATTCCAGAGGAAGGAGTCTGTCCTAGCCCATAGTGGGAAGATATTGTGACAGGTGAGTTCAAATAACAACAGTCTTGTGTAACCATTATTATTATTACTTGATAAATATTATTACTACTACCTATGAATGCAGATGAAGAAGCTAAAGGTCTGCAAGATGCACAGTCAGGCAAACAACAAGCAGCATAAGAAAGAGCAAAGCTCCAGCTTGCATGTTGTGCATATGTATCCCATTTTTTAGAAGAAATAAAAACTAAAAAATTTAAATAAATCAATAAAAATTTTTTAAAAAGAAGATCAAAGCTACAGCTGCAATACCAAAGCCCAATTTTTTTTCTTTTGTGTGTGTATGTGTGTCCTTAATTCCATGCTGAAACACGTTCAGAGAAAGAGAAAAAGAGAGAGCACCTATGTGTTGGGGGAAGTGAAAGAGAAGGAAGAGGGTCAGCCAGAAGAAAATGATGATAATAATAGATAGTCCTGAATGTCTTGCTGAGAGGTTTTCTGTTGATTTGACAATAAAGAAGATCCATTATAACTCCTTGAACCAGGGCAGAGACCACAAAAATAGTGTTTGGGGATGTTTAATCTTGCAGGGAGAACTGGAAGGTAAAGTCTGGGGAGCAGGGCACTCAGGCTTCAAGAATCAGGGTTACCTGTGTTCCCTCCTTGGCCACTGAGTCAAGAACAACCAAATTGTTTCTTCGTCAATTTCCTTTTTCAGGCTTGTTGTTTCCCATTTTTAACAGAGAACAAAGGTTACCACTTAAGATCATTTGTATTGGGATTTGCACCTCTGAGAGAAGTTTCTCCTTTAAAACATAGTGATATGTTGAATCCTCTTTGGTCCTCATTTCACATGAAAGAGAAATGTCACAAGCAACATTCTCACCAGCTACATTAGGAGGTTGAAGTTAACCTCCCATCTAAAGAGGAAAATCCTATAAACAGCCAAGTGTGGCAGACAGCCCTGTATGTTACAAGATGGGACCTTCTTGAATAAGAGCTTGGAATCGATGTTGCCAGGGTCTCCTCCAACTCTGTGATATTATGAGGATGAGATTCTAATTTTTTAATATCAGGTCCAGCCTTCTGCCTTTAAGAAGACCTGCACTCCTGGAGGAAGCTCAAATTTCTGTTTGCCAAGGCTTTCTGCATTCCAGGGACTTGGCACTTGCTGATTCCTCTTCCTGGATGGCTCTTCTTGCTCTTTGCAAACTGGCTCATTTTCTTTTTCCAGGTACTTGCCTGAAATGTCTTTTGCTCACAGAGGGCTTTCTTGACCACGTACTTAAGTGGATCACCCTGCTTTTTTCTCATGATAGAACCCTAGTTATTTCCTACATGAATCTTACTACACTCTGACAATTGTATATGTTTGTTTGCTTTCTTATCTTCCCAAGAGAATACTAAACTCCGTGCTGGATCCCCAGGATGTAGTACAGTGTCTGGCACATAGTGGGTCATCATGAAGGGCTGGAGGGATGGATAGATGTTTAGATGGATGGATGGATAAGTAGATAGATAGATAGATGGACGATGGGTGGAGGGATAATGGATGGATGGATGGATGGATGCATGGATGGAAGAATGAGCAAATATTTCATTAAGTATGTCATGTAAAAAGAAGGTTATGAGGTCAAATGAGTTTGGAAAATGTATTCTCTTCCCTTCTTGGAGATTCACAGTGCACATTAGCATTTTAAAGGGTATGAAAATTCCCCAGGAAGAAAAAACTTACTTAATTTTATTTTACCCAGCATTTCCTCAAGTTATTTTAACTCAAAATACTTCTTTTTCATGGTACACTTACTTAACACCCTGCCAAAGAATGTTCCTTGAAACACCAGTTTGGAAAATCTGCTCCTTTATAACCATTGCCATGTCGAATAGTAATTATTTTTTAACTCTCCTTCCAGGCTGTGAGATCGCTAAAGATATAGACTGAGACTTACTCATCTTCATATCCTCAACGTATAGCACAGTGCCAGGCACAGAGCAAATACTCAGAAATAATTGAGTACCTGAGAAGGGAGGAAACCAGAGGGAAGAAGGGAAGAAGGAAGGAAAGGAGGGAGGAAGGGAGAGAGAATGTAGCTGGGTTAGTCCATAAGTAATTACTTACTGATATGTACTTCAGTTGACTTTGAGGCAAATAGTAAAATGCTAATGATGACCTTACTATGTCAGAAGTCAGCATTACATTAACCATCTCAGATAAATTTTAGATTAATAATTGACCTAGGGTTAGGATTTAGGGTTAATTAACAATAAAACCTTCCTGTGTCTCCTACCCCCTCTCCCCCAACACACACACATAGCATTCTTAAGCTGGGCTCTCTTCTGTGTCTGAAAGTCAGATAATTACTGTATCTACAGAGCACTAGCAACAATGTTACATACTGGTTAAGAATATAGGTTTTGAAGGCAAATCCAGACTCCACCGTTTACTAGCTGTGTGAACTTAGACAAAGTACTTAACCTTTCTAAGGCTCAGTTTCCTCCTCTGTAAAATGCAGACAGTAATGATATATAATTATAGTGCTGTTGTGAATATTAACTAAGATTAAAATAATATGAGCTCAGGACAGCACCTATCATGAAGCAAGTAATCAATAAACTACTACTACCTCCTGGAAGAAGACTCCCTTTCCAGTACTGACATCAGGAGCTAAGGTATTTTATCTCCCAGGTGACTTGCCTTTAGAAGAATAGCTAGGGAAATGCTTAACTCAGAAGAACAGTGTTAAAATTGTAAGATTTCGGGTCCATAGAAGGACAATTTCAGGGAATGGGGCTCTTCGAATCTTACACCAAGATTCTATATCCCCTTTGAACACCTTGTGAAATTGCACATGATCCTATTTCATCTAGCACTTCGTAGATGCCCTCTGCACCACAAGGTTGGTGGGAAACCAATAATAAGCACACTTTCTCTAGAGAAAATTCAACCCACACTGTGTAGAAATGCACTTGGAGCCAGCTTTGTCCCCTCCTTCCTTGTAATCATGTAAGACTCATTCCTTTTTTCTTCACTGCTCTTTGGGGTTTGTGAATTACAAACACAGGTAACTTCTGTCTGCACAATGCCTGTAGGTACCTCAGGGAAAGGAGGAATTGGAGGGGCCATGAAAAGCAGGACTATTCATGGTCTTGTCCTAGAGTGGTAGTAAGGAGGGATGGGCTAGAGAGGGGGTATGGTTACAAATTTATCACCTATGCAGGGCTGAACACAAAATAAACACACAGGAAAGACTGAAATGAATTGAATACAAAAATACCATCCAAGAATTATTATTTTTAAGGAGGATTTAGATTCAGGACAAAAACAATATTCTTCCTTTCTGATTTAAAATATGCCTCAGTTATGGCCCAATAGAAGAGTTACCTGCTCAAAAGGCTGAAAGGAGCTCAGAGTCTAATGTAATCCCCCAGCCCCTAGACAAGATTCATGTTAAATCAGCTCAAATGGTCTTTACCTTTCTTTTAAATAAACTATAAACTCATCTAGAAAATCGCAGACTCTTAGAGGTGGAAGGATCTCTTTCCTGAAATCCAACATCTTTGACAGATGGCTGTACAGGCTTGGAGGGAGGAGGGGGATGAGTTCAAGAGCTTCATCCCACATCTCTATTCTTTAGAAAGTTAGTTCTTGTGTCAAGCTGAAATCTGCTTCACTGTAGCTTCCATCTGCTGTTCCAGTTCTGCCATTTGGAGCCACACAGGACATGTCTGCTCTCTTCCATTTGACACCCTTTCATTCCTGACCTCCACCTCCCATTGTCTCTCCTCTGCACAAAACATCCTCCTTCTCTTCGAACATTCCCCACATGCTGTGGTTTCCATATTCTTTACTATGCTAATAGCCTCCCTATGAAGCCACTGTTTGGTTATTGTCTGTCTTAAAATGTATCTTCTACAACTGAGTCCAAATGTCCTAGATATGTTCAGGCCCACATAGAGCACCAAGAAAATCAGTGGTGAAGAACAACAGCTTTTTTGGTCAGATATACTTGGTTTCATCATGTCCTAGCTCTGTGTCCTGGCCAAGTTAAACTCTTTGAACCGAAGTTTCTCCATTCATAAAATGAACATAGTAATGTGGTTTTCAGGAGTCGTAGTCATATATAAAAAAGCATTAAGCACAGTACTTGGTACATGGTTAGTGCAGCATAAATGGTGGCCACATAGAATGTTGATGTTTTTTGTATTATTAGACATGATACTCCATTACTAGTATAAAATTTTAACAGCTATTCATGCCATTAATTCACAATGAGTCAGCCAAAACATAATTTTTTTCTACAAATTATTGTCAAGAAACATCTCTCCTACCTTGTTTTTGTGCAACTTGTTATTTGAATCCAAATTCAGAATTTGTCTGTATTCATGTTTATCTTCTGGCTCATTACTCCAACATATCAATGTCATCTTTCATGGGTAAAAAAGAAAAGATCCTCCCTTGGCCACAAGCCACAGCACTTGACTGCACACAAAGTCAGGAAGCTTTTCTAACATAAGCAGAACCCCTGTGTAGTTGGAGTCCTATTGCATCATGGTTTCTTTCCCCACCTGGGACTCCAGTGTCCAGACTTCCACCATCAGGAATTTGATAGTTTCATTCAACAAGTTAAAGGCATATTTGTCGAGTGCCTTTTCCATGGCAATGACTTCTCTTGACTGGAGCTATGCAGTGGATAAGACAGGCAAGACCCCTACTCTCATCAAGTGTACATTCCCGAGGGGGAGGACAAGCAAGAAGTGCATATATCAGATAAGTATAGACCATACATATTATGTGTGAATAAAACAGATGGCAAAATGGAGAGGGATGTGGGTGGGGAGAGGACCACTAGACTGGTGGTTCCAGAAGGCACTCCCTACCGAGAGCATGACCAGGAGGTGCCAGACCCAACAGATGTATACGTAAGCACTCCCCTGGTCTATTTGGTTGTTCCTTTTTTATAAATATGAAAGACACCAAAATGAATGTCATTAAAAGCAGTAAATTGCTCTATCTTCAAAGCTTCTAAAAGCCTGGCTCGAGTTGTCTACCCACAGCAAGCTCCTCTGGCTCATGAAACAGAGCCTTCTTTGCTCTTGCCAGGAATGACAGCAGTTTAGTGTGATAATCTGGAATATCATACGCACTTTGGAAGTTAAGGGAGCAGTTAAAATGGGAAAACATATTTTCACTAAACTGGTTCACTTGGGAAACAAAATTTTATGAGATCCATAAGAAGCTGGACACAGTAGGCCTACTTGGTGGGAAAGAGTCCGGGCATCGTTTCTGTAGAGCTCGGAGGCAGGGCCCAGACTCATTCCCTGAATTGCTCTCCATCAGTGTGAGAGCACCATCCTCATGGGACTATCTGATTTCTCATGAAAAGAGGCCTCCCTCTTTTCTAATCAAAAGATTAGAGGTGCACTGGGATAGGGCTTGTTGTTTCAGCCGTTCTCTCCTGGGATTCCAGGTGTACTTCCACTAAGAGCAGTTTGTTCTATTTTTTTCCTCAAGATGGCCTCTTCCTACCTAAGTATAGGACTTCACTTTTTCTAAAGCCCCATTGGAAAACAACATGAGAAAAGAGGAGACTAACAGTGCTAACTAATACACACACCTTGGTCAGAATCTGGGGAGAAGTTCCACTGGTTCTATGAGCTCTGGAGCTGAGGCGGTTATTGATTGGGTACTTGAGCCTGACAAGAGAACAAAACCACAGCTTGAAAAGATGATCTCATCTATTCCTATGGAGAAAATTAAGTCTTGAATCAGAAGTACAGGTCTACCTCATCTGACCCTGGCCCACTCACCCGCTATTGCAGTGGGGCCTTCTTTCTTAGGTAATCAGGAGTTGTTCTGGGCCCCTACCCCAACACCCAGCCCCCAGAATTCCTCACTGATGCATTTCACATATACTCTCAGGTTACACTTTCCCTGGAATAATACTGTGTCCACATTTACAGGTATATCAGTATACACTTTTCCACATTTACAGATATATAGGTGTAAATACATAGAAAACTTAATGGAAAGATTCATGCAAAATGCTCACAATAGTTACCTCTGGGGAGGTTTGAGTTCAGAAAAGGGAGATCAAAGAGAGTTTTTTATATATCTCTACAGTTTTAATATTTGGAAGAACAATGTTTTCAGAACTTACTTGTGCAATGGAAATTAACTGTGTAAAAAAACAAAAAACACTACCAGCATCTGGGTAGAAATGAATCAGATGGACTACGAGACAAAAAAAAAAAAAAAAAAAAAAAGAAGAAGAAGAAGAAAGAATAAAGAACAGGCTCAAACTTCTCCTGTACAGCACTAAATATGAGAAGACTCAAAAGAAATACATAGAATTTGGGAGGAAATTCTATAACCAACCCAGTGATTATTCTGTGATGACTATGACAACAACATATCTTCTGAATAAAATTACTCAGAAACGATCAGTTAATCCAAAAAGGAACTGTGTTAAATAACTTAGAATAAAAGATTACAGTTCAAGAGGAATGGTGCGAGTATCAAAAGCACTTAAATGTAGAATTGAGTCTGAATGATTATAGAAAATGTGGACTCAAAAAAAAAAGAAAACATTTAAAGAACATAGGTAATGTAAAAATAATTATTAAAATTCCAGTTCTGAAATTCCCCAATAACAACAAAAGCAGGAAATGAATGGAGAGTTAAAGGCATGGCATAAAGTAAAACTGTATTAATGTCTTCATCCGCAGAGTAGGCAACTGACAGCTTTTGCTTTACTTGGGCAAGTCACTTAACTTTCTGTGTCTCCAAATCCTGCTGTGAAGACTAACTTAATGAATATACATACATTGCTTAGCACAATAACATGACATGTATTAAGAGCTCAAAAAACATTAACTGATAATTATAATTATCAATATTATATTGACTTTTATACTTCTAAAAATACAGGCTCAAGTATATATTAGGCTACTTGATTTTTAGTAGAATAAAAAAGATGCATCCTTAGCAATTCACAGGAGAAAACAAATGCAAATAAAATATCATCTACATACATATAACAGAAAACCAAAAGCTAAAGAGAAATAATACATAAAAAGCAAGAAATGAAGGTAAAAAGATTTAAAATGAACATATTGTGTGGGTTGGGTGCTCCTTCTATAAGCAGCTGAAATCCTGATTTAAATTGGCTTAGGGCCAGGCGCAGTGGCCCTTGCCTGTAATCCCAGCACTTTGGGAGGCTGAGGCAGGTGGATTACTTAAGCCCAGGAGTTTGAGACCAGCCTGGGTGACATTGTGAAACCGCGTCTCTACCAAAACTAAAAAAAGTTAGCTGAGCATGGTGGTGCGCCCCTGTGGTCCCAGTTATCTGGGAGGCTGAAGTGGGAGGATCGCTTGAGCCTGGGAGGTGGAGGCTGCAGTAAGCCATGATCGTGCCACTGTATTCCAGCCTGGGCAACAAAGTGAGACCTCATCTCAAAGAAATAAAATAAAATAAATTGGCTTAAACAACAAATAAAAAATTGCCTAATTTTATGTAACAGGAGCACAAGATGTAGAACCACCACCAGACCATTGATTTAGAAGCTCAGGGATACTTTCAAGAGTCCCAATTCTTCCCTCTGTCATCCTTTTGAGGACTTCCCCCAAGGCAGGCAGCAAGGCTGCTACCTATCACATTTCCAGGAGTACCATTTCAATGTGATCCCACTCAGCAGAAAGACCACCTTTTCCTGTGGCTTTCTTAGGAGCAAAAACATATTCTCCAGAAAAGCCTCCCAGGCCATTTCCTTTCTCAGTGTCTTATCTAGAACTGAGTTACCTGCCCATTCCTAAGCCAATCACTAATACAAGTTGGGATTGCACTTGGACCAACCGGCTCACCCTGGGGGCTAGAGTGGAGTCAGGTTCTCCTGGGATGCAAGGACTGAATTCCTATAAATATCTGGGCTCACTTGAGACAAGGCAGGAAGGAAAAGATTCTGGGCAGGGAATAGCAATGTTCACTACCCATATCAGTTTTGAAAATCACTGTCAGTGTAATTAACTCCCTCACTAATAGACAAAGGCTTTTTTTTTGTTTTGTCAAAATACAAAATACTTAAGCTACAACTCAAACAAGGTCAGAAATAAAGGCTAAGCACTTAGCCAAGATGTATGCACACAAAAAGGAAACAGGGATAGAAATTGCAAACAAAGCATTAAACAGGCCAAGAGGGGCATTTTAGATTGATTATGGGTATAATCCACAATTAAGATACAAAAAAACGCACAACCTCATTTCACACTGTTATAGCATAATAGAACGAGAGCAAAATCTCTGACAAATGAGAGAAAACCAAGAGTCATACAGTCACCGCAGAAAAGTTGGACACATTTCTCTCAGGTTATGGCTGATTACATTGTCAGAAAAGGGTGGAGAATTATAAATAATATGACTAATAATGCCTATCTAAAACATTTCTAATTTAAATGTCTTCTAACCTGGCTAGTCTGGTCTAAAATAAAATTCAACTGATGGCTCCAGTCATGATCATTTTAATCACCCACCTACCCTAGGAAGCAATAATGATTTCAAGGTGCACTCTGATGTTTCTTACAGCCCCTCAGGGCTCCTCATCCCAGGTCTGCTTCATCAGTCCCCAGGACTGAGCCCTCCTGTTCATCCGTGTACCCCCACCACCTCCAGCTGCTTGGCCACCATCTTCGGTACCCTGCCACCGGACCAAGGCTGCCCTCACCTTAGCAGAGGTCTCATTTCCCCTTCCCTCTCTGCACAGGTCTAGAAGATACCAAAGCAGATAACAGCCTTTAGCAAGGATTTACTGAGAGTTCATAAAGAAGGAAAGAGAGAACCAACTATCCTTGTCAACAGATGTACCCACTTCTGGAGGCCTCAACCAGGGCCTGCCCTCAGGGTTCCTCCAGCAACCCTCCCTGCCCTGCCTCACTCTGTTCCTGAGAGCTGGACCTTTCTGTACAGCTGTGCTCTACTGCACTTTCCAGGATAATATTGGCCTCCCCAACCTTGACTGATTGACTGTCAGTATTAGTATTAGAGTCTATTCTAATTAGTATTAGAGTCTATTTCTGAAGCTGCTTCCCTGTACCACTGGTTCATTTAATAATTTTTGCTTTGACTGTGGGAAGGTCTGTCAGCTTCAGATGGACTCACTCATGTCTCTAATGGCTGTGTGTGCTCTAGCCCACTGGTCTCATCAGTGCTATCCAACAACTTTTACTTTCTACTATGTTTTTGAAATTCTTAGAATTAAATTTCATCTTGGGTATCCCATTACAGAAATATATCTAACTATAGATACTACCAACAGAGAACACTGTATCTTTTCAAACACACATGAAGCACTTAAAAAAAAAAAAAAAAAAAGCATTCTATATTAAGTCATAATAAAAATATGAATAAATTGCAAAGAGAAGGAATTTTGCAAGTGAATAGCAAAGAGAAGTAACAACAAAACACAACCACTTGGAAAATTTAAAGGTATTCCTAAATCACACTGGAATTAAATGTTTTTTATGACTGTTGAGAAAATTATAACAAATGGAAAATTATATATAAAACTTTTGTGTGACAACCAAAAATGCTGTCAGTGTGAAATCTGAGGCCTTAAAAGCCTACAAAATTTAAAACGAAACATGAAAATAAATGAAAAAAACGTCCAACTTAGTTAACAGAAGAAAAATAAGATAAACTCAAAAAAAGCAGAAATTTATAAATCCATTTAAAAATATGAGCTAAAAATGAGAAAACTGATAAATCCTAGGAATAGATCTTTGTAAGGAAAAGCCAAATAGCTAAATATCTAGCAAGTATATGCAAGTAAATGATACAGAAGATACAAAAACAAAAAATTAAAAATGAGGAAGCAAATATATTCACATACTGTTTAAAAAATTGTATAACAGTGATAAAATGAGCAATTTTCTAGGGAAACATAAGTGAATCAAAGCTTAATCATAAAGAGAAAAACTATCCAAACTGATCAAAAATAGAGAAAAATCTCAAAAGGCAAATACTTATTATCTCCTAAATGGCACAGAAAAATATGTGGGTTCTTTAAAACTCCATGAGATACAAAATATTCCAGAATATATTTTAACGGATTTCTAGGTTATTTTCCATAACCTTTATATCCAAACTTGATGAAGAAAGCACACTCCTAAATACACACACTTACATACACACCCCACAAACACCATATACATACATCTCTAAACCCCACTTACAATACAAGTGCAAAAATCCAACATAAAATATCAACACAAACCAGAATCACGATATTGAAGATAGAAATCAATACACATGATCAAGTAAATGTGACTTCAGAAATTTAAAGATTAAAGAAAAAATTATATTTAAATAAAAAATAATATTCCTGGTTAAAATCATTTCTATGTAAATTTACATATATTATATGTATATATACATGTAAATGTGTATATGTAAATTATATACATCCACTAAGAATAAAGCTTTCTTCCTAAAAAATCTCTCTTAAAACTGGACACTTGGTTAAATGATGAAACCAAAGGTCCAGCTTTATGATTCCTCCATCTACCTTAGAATGAGTAGCAATACAAATAATACAGTTAGTGTCCCTGTTTTTACGTCATACTTTGAAAGTTCTAACCAAAGCAACAAAACAAAACAAAATGCATAAGTAATACATATTTTAATAAGTAAAAGGAAAACTTC